GGGTGCGACCACCCGCTCGCCTCCTTCCGAGAAAGAGCGGTCTCGGAAGCGGCTGTCCCGAGAACTCAGAGCTGGGGCTGGCTCCCCCTTGAGGCTGCTGAGAAGCTGGTTCTGGTGGAACTTGGAGCTGGGCAGGGTGACCGAGTGCCTCCGAGGGAAGCCCCCACCAGCAGGGGTGCCCACTGCCTTCCTGTCCAGCAGGCAGCCCCCTGCGCTGGGAGGGCTGTAGTTGAGCATCTTGTTACCCTGGAGGGAAGAGGGAGAAGAGACAGGAAGGTTAGTGACATCCACCAGGCCTGAGAAGGGAACCCACCAAGAGTAGCCCCATCCCTAGTCAGAAACACCTAGTCTCTCAAATGAACCGTCTCTGCCTGCAGAGATGGTTCTTTCTGCAGTAGACCATCTACCAAGGTTTATTCGGAACCGTGCATAAGAAACCACAAAATTCCGGCCTGGGCGACACATTATTTTATGTACACATCTTGCTCCAGACTAAACCCCACGGCCTCTGTCCCTCAAGTATCACTTTTATCTGTACCATTCAACTTCTCCTCCCAGATAGATACTTGAGCTCAAAATATCTCATACAACTAGGAACTCTCCAGACTGCCCTGCCCCTGAGAAAAAAACAGGTAAGCTCAAAGACTAAATTCCCTCTGAATCAACCCCTGCCTAACTGATTACCCCTCATCCTCACGATCCTCCTTCTCAAGTGTTGCCTTCCTTTGGCAACAGGTTTGCAGACTGCTGTATCTCCCTCTGGAGAGGGGGCGGGGGGAGGTGGGGAGGCCAGGGGCTCAGGAGAAGGACATGGGTGGGGGGCTGGGGTTGGGAAGCCAGGGATGTGACTCTTGAAAGTAGAACTCACTGCCCCGCAATCCTGAAAGGGGTACTTTCCACAGTGATCTCCACTATTCCCCATCCGCCCCACCCCCTTCCCGAGGAAGATGCCTTTGCAATTAGTCTTCTGGCTGCAAGAGCAGGTTTGGATAAGAGCACCAGTGTTTAATCTTTAACACAAAACTGCAGGTGGGAAGGAAAAGGAAAGCACCAACGCCCCCCGCGTGCGCATGCGGGCGCGCGCGCGCGCACACACACACACACACACACATACATACATACACACACACCTCCCAGTCTGCAGCTGATGAAGGGGGGAGGGGGGGCAGAGCCACCATAGGCAAGTTTCTGTTCCACTGAGGACCCTGGTCACCTGCCCAAATTGTATCCGAGATTTAGAAAGGGTGCAGGCTAGAAACCAAAGAGTTGGCTCCCAGACCATGTGGGTGTCACTGTACAAATTCTAAAGTTGGTCCCTTAGGATCAGCGGCGGGGGATCGGGAATCTGTAACCGCAACCACCCCACCGAGCGGATTACAGGAACCCAGTCGAGAGCCGGTTCCCCAAAATGAGGTTCTTTTAAAAAGTCCTGCGGGGGGAGGGGGCGAAAGAATGAGAACTAGATCAAAGAGCGGGTGAGCCCGGCCGGGAACGAAGCGCGCCGGAAAGCTCAGGCAGCCGCGAGGACAAGTGGAGTTTGGGAAAGCGCAGGGGGCGAAGAAAGCTGAAAACGCAAACTTTTCTGCTGTTGCTCTTCAGCTCCTCGGCCTCCCTGCACCCCAACCCTGCAGCCCTGGGGCCCTGGCAGCTGCGCCGACAGGAGCAGCAAGCTGGGAAAATAGAGCAACATGACCCGACGTGTTTAAGAGAAGGCACAACACTTTAGCAATTAAAAGTAGCCCAGCAGCTTCACCCTTTCAAATTGGGGGGAGGGGATTGGAAAGAAATGTAATAACGTCCATAGGCTTTTGCTATGTACCTTTAAACTGTGCTCCTCAAACATCCCTGGTTTAAAGCGCGGTTTTTTTTTTTTTTCCAACACCCGGATTTACAGAGGCCCCAATTAAATCCTTACTCTCGGGAACCCTTAATCTCAGCATTTTGTCGCCCCCCTGTCCGACAAGCCGTGGTGCCTCGCAACACAGAGAAGCGAGTCAACCTGAAGTCCGCCTGCACCCCAAAGTTTGCAGCACGGTCGGTTATCGCCGGAGGAAGCCCAGCCGAGCTGGGACCCGTACAAGTCCCACTGCAAACTCGTTTTGCAACATCTTTTTGAATCACAACTCCTGGTATTTTTCTTCCTCGCGGTTCCCAGCTCCTCCAAAGCAGAGAGGGAACCCTCCCAGCAAAACATCGTTCCAAGACTCACTTCCTCGAGGGACCTCCCCCCTGTCTGAAACCCTCGGGCCGGCAGTGCTGCTGAATAGACTCGAACCCCTCCCGGCGGAGCAGAGACCCACAGCGCACCGGGAAACCCAGCATGCCAGCGAACCCCGGCTCAGACAGCGCCAAAGAATCACCCAAAACTTGCCTGGATCCAGGCACGCCCCAGAGTCCCCGGGGAAGCCCTGCCACGCAAACTTCGCCCCCCAAAACTCTGGCGTCTCGATTCACACATGTAACCCGCGGTCAGGAACTGCTGAAACTTGAATGGTGGGAGGGCAGGGCCAAATTCCTTCAAACTTGTGGGAACTGTGAGCGGAGCAATGAGCTGTCCCGCTTCCCCGTGATTTCCAAGACACAAACTTCTGGGAGGTTTTTTGGTTTTTTTTTTTTCTGTTTTTTGGGTTTTTTTACGAAAAAAGGAAAAAGACACAGCAAAGCAAACGCTCCACCCCACTTTACCTTGCATAAAACTTCGCTCAAGTCGAAGATGGTGGCAGACACGAGTGTGGTGGTCATCGTGGGCGCTTGCACGGGGCTGGGACGAGGAACTGGTGTGTCGCGAAGGTCCCGGTGCGGGGAAGGCGCAGCCTCCGGCTCTCCGGTCTGGAGTCCCACACGCCTGCTCCCGGCGCCCCTCGCCTTTCTGACTCTCCCGGGCTGCGGCGCGCAAAGCCCAATTTATAAAGTTTCAGTATTGGTGGGCAGGGGAGAGGAGGAGCTTTAAACTTATTTAAATGAGGAAGAGGAGGTAGAAAAAAAGTTGATTGACACTGAGGTTGAATCAGCCATGCGGTGAGCCGCGCGCAACTTTTTTTTCTTAAAGAGGAAAAGTTTCGAGCTTTGCTACCCGAAGCTTCGGGAGCCCCTCTCTCCCGCTGCGCGCCGAGCGGAGGGGGAGGGGCACCCCCTTTGTCACCCTACGAGCGCGGCTCTGTGACATCACTCCTTCCACCCCTTCGGGGTTCTTGTTGTGTTGTTGTTGTTTGTCGGGCAGGAAGGCGGGCTTGACTTTCTCTTTTAGCGAGCGGGAGCAGAAGCCCTTCCTTCGCGCCGGGGCTGCGGTTTCCATCTTGAGCTGGTCTCCTACGAAACTTCCCCAAGGGCCCGCACTACTTCGCTTTTCCCGACCCCTCTCCCGCACCCGCTCTCCCCTGCAAACCCCGCAGGGCGAGGAGGTGGGAAATTCTGGACGCACACAACCCTGAAGCCTGGGGCTTTGCGTATTTTTCAGCGGGACAGGGGCGGGGGGGACTTTTTCTCCGGAGGACTCGGCGGGGCGGGGGCGAACGCAGCACAACTTACTGCACCGCACGCGTCTACACTCGCGCTGGCTTCGCAGGGGCGCTCTCCCAGTATCGGCGGGGAAGGGGGGGGGGGCC